CGTCTCTTTGTGTTACCTGATTTGAGTTCGGAAAACACGCATCGGAATAATCATCCGTCCCATCACATGGTCCGAGAAAAAATCCACACTCCATATATTGATGCCACATTTTTCAGGACTTAGCCATTCATATTCCATACATTTTCCTTTGAGTTTGGATTCTGTATGCATTAGATTCTAGTTACAAATCACAAAAACTTATTAAATAGTTTCATATAACAAAATGCCTGGGACGAGGTCGAAGTTGGCATCAAAGAATGACTCTTGCTCCCTTTGCTGCACGCATGGCGGAGAAAATTGGATTATGTGCGAAAGCTGTCAACACTGGGAGCACAGTGGATGTGTTGGATACAGCAAGGAGGACTACAGGTTTCTGGAGAGGTCAAAAAATGTTATTTTTCTTTGCGACGGATGTATTCCAGCAGCCAAGAAAAATATGTGTGAAAATCATATCTCTATCAGAGGAATTGTTTGAACTGAAGACTTCAGTTGAGGAGGCGAAGGCCGCGATTGGTGCGCTGAGCCAGCCATCCGCGCCAAATCCCGAAGCTATGTATAGTTCTGCGGTTAATTCTGTTAAATTCTTGAAAGAGTATGAAACAGAAATTAGATTCAGTGGTCTTCCGGAATATAAAATTGAAAAGGATTTAAATAGTTCGCGCTCAAAATCCCACTAGGAAAGAAATTTTTGATCATGAAGGAGCAAACATATTGGGAGTTAATGAAATTCTGGGTTTGAGTTCCTAAGGAGTATCGAAAACTCGCCGCCTAGGTAAATTTGATCCAACCAGACTTAAACCGAGACAATTTTAGTTAAGTTCTCATGTAGTTACACTGGAGAAAAATGTTAGCGCGGTCATCAATGCTCAAATTATACGAACCAACGTAAAACGGTAAAGCGTATCGCGTGTTTCTTTAAAAATCCTCCTTGAACAATAAGGAACAACTGAAAGAACATAAAATGTTGAAGAAGAGAAGATAAATACTAAACAATGATATTGTAGATCCGAAGTCTGTTCGGATTAAACGTGGTACCTTGTATGTTAAGAATCAAGTTATTGATCTGGACGGGTGACTAGAAAAATAAACGGGTGAAATCAGTTTGTTATGTTAGAATATAAGAAGCATTTACAAATCTGAAAGACGTAAAATTTTAGCAAATCATGCTTCTATTATTACTTATGACGTAATTTGTATAACGGAAACTTGGCTTACAAATGACGTTTTAGAGGGGGAATTATTTTTGCCTCAGTTTCGGTGTTTTTGTGCAAACAGAAAGTTAGTAGAAGGACAAACTACCTCAACTAGGGTGGAACAATGAATTGTGTTTGTCGAGCATTTATGGCAGAGCGGTTGAATCTCGGCTATGAAGTAAACGGATCAATAGTTGCATGTAGTGTATTCATGGGAAACAAAAAATTCTGCTGGCTACGTGTTATTTAACCCCCTCCAAGAGCAAGTATGCCTTTACATCTAAGGATCTGCAAAACTTATTCAATTTTATCAAGAAAGTCAAAACAAAAGTAGATGACATTATTATGTGCGGAGAATTCAATTTTCCGGCAATAAATTGGAATACGCTTTCATCATGTCTACCGACGGAAACTGAATTCTTAAGCCTATGGAGCAAATCAACCTAAAGCAAAAAAATTAGACTTTTTCACAGCAAGTACTGGAATTTTGGACTTAATTCATGTAAGCAATGGCATACAAGCACTTGACATTACAAAAACAAACCTAGAACCTGAATTTTCAAATCTGTCGAACCACTACCCCATCAAAATGAAGCTGTGCGTTGAAACAAAATGCTTATTGAAAAGAAATTTTTGCCCAGAGTTGGTGTATAGCTACTACAAAGGTGATATCAGAAGCTCGCTGAAACTTTGATCATTAAGAAATTTGAGCCTTATTGCTGGTCCAATCCTGATAAAATAATTAAATTGTGCTATAAATGGCTTCAAAATGCTTTAAAAGAAACAATAACTAAGCCAACTGCTCATAGAGCATCATTGACTCCCTGGATAAATAAAAAAAACGTCACACTACTTTAAATGCTTGCAAACTGCAAGAAGAAAATATCCAGAAGCTCATACCAAAATACAATTTTTTTAAGAATTGGTGAATACATCTAATAATATGGACAAAATTCAGTACAAAGATAAATTAGCACAAGGAAGATCAACATCCAATATTTTCAAGAACTTTAAAGCCTTTAGAAAATCAAATTAACCGCCCAAAACGTTTTCCAACGAATTCACTGCTGATTCTGACAAAGAGAAAGCAGATATATTTGCAAAGTTCTTTTCTTCGGTTTATAGTAAATCGAGTTCATTCGAGTTTTCTCGCGATTTGTGTGCCAGTTCTAAAGGAAGTAAGCATCGAAACAAAAGAAGTAATGGAAACTTGTAAAAACTTAAATGTTAACAAAAGTAAAAGACCAGACGAATTACCACCTTTTTCGTTTCAAAAACTCTGTCTTTCTCTATCCCCTTCTCTTACACAGATATATCAAAAAAATTGCAAACCGGCAAATATCCAAAAATTTGTAAAGTTGCAACAGTGTCTGCTCTCCATAAAAATAACGACAAACGCGAAGTATCAAATTACCGTCCAGTGTCTCTTCTATCGATCCCTCCCAAAATGCTTGAACGGATTTTGTTCATTCGGTTATACAACCACTATTCACAATTTTTACACAGCTCACAGTTTGGATTTAGAAGGAATCGATCGATGATTTTTCAATTATTAATGTTCCTTTAAAAAGTGTATCATGGTTTTGAAAATTAAAAGAAAATGGATGTTTTATTCACTGATTATAGCAAAGCTTTCGACCGCGTGGATCATGGTGTGCTCCCTAGAAAAAAGTTGAAACCGGTATTAGAGGGGAACTACTAAATTTACTGAAATCTTAGGTAACAGATCGTAGCCAATCTGTTAGAGTTAAGAACGAATTTTCTTGGGAAATTAAAATAACAAGTGGAGTACCTCAGGGGAGCATTATTGCGCCATTACTTTTCTTTGTTTTTGTGAATGATTTGCCTTCAAAATGCGAATGTTTTTCCCTCTTAAGTTTGGTGATGATGCGAAATTTATAAGTATTGGAACAGAACTCAATTTGGTACAAAAAAATTTAAACGCACTTTTGAAATGGACTGAAACAAATCACATGCCTTTCAACATGGATAAATGTGCTCATATTTCTATCAACAATACTGAAAAGAACTTTTATTTTGGAAATCACGTGATCGAAAAAGAGTTAACGCAATCAGATTTTGATACTCTCGAGTGACCTTAAATGGGACCAACACATCGAAAAAGCCTGTAAAAAGGCTATAAACGTTATCTTCATGACCAAACGTAACGTTTCAAATATTTATTGGACAACGAAGCTCCATATGTATAAGTCAATGATAGTGCCAATTTTAATTTACGGAAGTCCTTGCTATGGCTTGAGCAAAAACATAATGATAAGTTAGAAAATGTACAGAAGCGAATCGTTAAGTGGATATCACCAATTGGCGGAAGCTACAAGGCTTGTCTCGACTTTTTGGGAATATTACCACTCCTTATGTACATTCAAGTAAACAACTTTTTGTTATTGTCCAAACTGATTTTGGGTAAATATGATAACGAACCAATTGACATGCCTTTTTCAGCTGCAGAGATCAAGAAAGAGAATCTTGGAAGAAAATTTCTTTTATCAGACAAGCAGACTAGCAATTTTTGTAAAAATTGATCTGCGTCAGAAAAATGGACTGAAGAAATCGATATTACTTGTTTTCTGGAGAAGATTTGAAGAATATGAAGAAGTGAATAAAGGCACGTGGAGAGTTGGGCTGTGACTGCTTGATAAATAACTACAGAAACAAGACTAATCTATAGCACTCGCAAACTGTCTGGGGTGATAGCCCTTGTGCTGACCAGCACAGAAGCGCTACTACTACTACTACTACTACTACTACTACTACTACTACTACTACTACTACTACTATACTACTACTGCTACTACTACTACTACTACTGCTACTACTACTACTACTACTACTACTACTACTACTACTACTACTAAAATTGCTTCGGCAAAAATATCGAATATTACTGCTACCATTTTTGAATCATTTTGTCTCTAAATGTCTCGAAAAGCTGAAATACAATTGCCCAAGTTAAACTAGCATTGAAACCAAATTGACGCTTGGTTAATCACTATGTTGGCATTCGTTTAGTTGAAAAAAAATGCCATACAGGAGAAACCTTGAACCACATATAATCATGCATAAACACAAACTTTTCACTTTAAAATGACGCATAATTATTACGCTTAGCCTAATTGTTGTGATAAACTTATTATATAGTTTCATGTGATATAATGGTACGCTTGTAAGAAGAAGGCCCGGTCGGGATTTTAGAGACAAGCTCGTCAAGCCGCGATACACCCCCTCTACCCGGACATCCCCGCCGGAACCTCCACCTCCAACCGTGGAAAACTAGGTTGTAATCGCTTTCATTTCTTTTTTTTACTTTTAAAATCTATTTCTCTACAATCCATTTAACAATCTACTCTTTCTCTTGTTTTGTCTCTTTTGGACCCTGTTTAGTAAATGTCCGTGCCGAAGTAGAGGCCGAGATGGCTACCCAAGTGGAGCAGAAAATTTGTAAAAGGAACCTCAAGGACCAAGTACTGCAGCCCCAAAGATGTCCGAGCCACTGATCACTCGTACAGAGGTGCTACTACTACTAAAAAAAATGCTTCGGCAAAAATATCGAATATTACTGCTACCATTTTTGAATCATTTTGTCTCTAAATGTCTCGAAAACCTGAAAGACAATTGCCCAAGTTAAACTAGCATTGAAACCAAATTGACGCTTGGTTAATCACTATGTTGGCATTCGTTTAGTTGAAAAAAAGCCATACAGGAGAACACCTTGAACCAAATATAACCACGTATAAACACAAACTTTTCTTTTTAAAATGACGCATAATTATTACGCTTAGCCTAATTGTTGTGATAAACTTATTAAATAGTTTCATGTGACATGATACGCTCATAATGGTACGCTTGTAAGAAGAAGGCCCGGTACGGGATTTTAGAGACAAGCTCGTCAAGCCGCGATACACCCCCTCTACCCGGATATCCCCGCCGGAACCTCCACCTCCAACCGTGAAAAACTAGGTTGTAATCGCTTTCATTTCTTTTTTTTTGTTTTTAAAATCTATTTCTCTACAATCCATTTAACTATCTACTCTTTCTCTTGTTTTGTCTCTTTTGGAACCTGTTTAGTAAATGTCTGTGCCGAAGTAGAGGCCGAGGTGGCTACCCAAGTGGAGCAGGAAATTTGTAAAAGGAACCTCAAGGACCAAGTACTGCAGCCCCAAAATGTCCGAGCCACAGTTCACTCGTACAGAGGTGCAAAACTAGCCGACTTTGCCGCTACTGTCTCGCGCTACCGCTCGCAGAAACTGAACTGTGTTACTATAGTAGCAGTCTTTAATGATAACTCATCTTCGGTGTCAGACTTTGCTAAGGATTGGAGATTTTTAATAAATTTGATAATTCAAAAGTTTAATCCAAATGTGCTTATTATCCCCAAAACCACCCTCTCTGCAATTAATTACTTCATAAACAGAAAACTTGGTGCTTTCAATAACTCTTTGTTTTGCCTTATTTATACATTTTACCACTCAAGATTTTGAATTACTTCCCCCAATCTAAATGTTATTTTCAGTACTAATGTTTTGTAAAGAAGGTATTCATTTTTCTTTTTATGGCAAAAAAATTTTCAATTTATTGCTCGCTCATCTAACTTGTATATATTCACCATAAATTTACCCTCCTCGCTGCCAAATTATGGCCGTTGAAACGCACTGCCATATTTGCAAACGCCACCTCCGAAAAGGAGGCATATGGTGTGTCATTTGCAAAGCATACATCCATGTCTGATGTAGCGGGCTACAGAGCAGCAAATTTTATTACGATGGGTGCTCCTGCATACAATGCACTCCCGAGAACTTTGCAAAAAAGGGTCTAATTCCACAAACAGACAAGCACAGCCCCCATCTCAACTCAAAAAGAAACATCACCGGCAACACCTGAAACAAACGCACTGCCCAACGCAACACAATCTTATCCATCACCCCCAGCAATCACTACAGTCCCCTTCGACCCCTGGAAACTTATCGACCAAGAATTTGAATATAAAACAAATGACATATACAAAAATGTTGTTAACTGGAAACCGCGCTTCATAGTTCTAAGCAAGAACAAGCCCGGTTTCCAATTCAAAGAATTACTGAACCAGCAGCTGTTATTGGTAGACGAAACGTCAAACTCTAACGTCGCAATGAAAGCAGCAATGATTATCCCACATCTGCTGCTCCCCAAAACTAAATCAGAAACAAACGGATCAAATTCCAAAACACTGAGCCGCCGTATAATTTTATGGAAGCAAGGCCTATTAGACGAACTTTTCACTGAAGCGAAAGCCCCCAAATTAGACATCCAAAACAGAAGAAGTCCGAAGTAAACGAGGAAGCTAAGCAATTTGATAAACCAATGAGTACAGGCAAAATATCTGCCATCATTGGCTGCCTTTCAGACAAGAAAACAAAAGGAGTACTTCCCCTAAACAAAGTCATTGAAGGAAAAACAATCCTCAATATCACCCCATCCAAAACAGCGAACGCTAACTAAATAACTAAATTAAATGAAGACACAATGCCATACCACCCCTCTATATTCGAACAAATAAACGCCAAGAGAGTTCAAAAATCAACCCTGAAAACGCACGGAAGCCACGGTCCCTCAGGTCTAGATGATGCGAATGGAGAAGGATATTAACTCACTTCAACCGGACATCCATTGAGCTTTGCTAAACAATTGCTAAACTATCCTATACATAAGGAAGTAAAGTTGTCTACCATGAAATCTTAACAGCTTACAATTCGTGTCGCCTAATACCTCTGGACAAAAATCCAGGGGTACGGCCCATTGGTATAGGCGAGGTTCTGAGAAGAACAATTGGCAAAACAATCACCCAATGTATAAAATCAGACCTAAAAAATCTCGGAAAAGAATTCGAACTCTGCTGAGGCCAGAAGTGAGGAATCGAATAAGCTATCCACAGCTTGAGGAAGAAGTTTGAGAAACCGGAAACGGAAGCCATACTACTTATTGATGCAGAAAACGCCTTCAACTCGCTCAATTGAGAACTTGCTCTAAAAAATGTAGAAATCCTTTGTCCGGCACTATATCATGCGCTGGCCAACTCAAATAAACATCCCTCAAATTTATATGTCAAAAACACCGTTTTGACATCTACCGTAGGCACAACGCAAGGTGATCCCCTCGCAATGGCTATGTACGGAATTGGAATAATCCCACTGATTGAGCTCCTCCAAAAACCAAATGTCACCCAAAAATGGTACGCAGATAATGGAAGCGCTGCAGGTGATCTCAGAAGTCTCCGCGCAATACTGGACAACCTAGATGTGCACGGAAAGGCTTTTGGGTACCATGTGAAGCGTTCCAAGTGTCAACTCATAGCAAAGGAAAACTGACGTAAAAGCGCCATAAAAGTATTCGAAGGCACAAATATTACAAAAGCAGACGTTTTTAGAGTCCTTGGATTGGTCATAGAAATACCATCAGCATGCGATAAGTACATCGAAAGCGAAATTGAAAAGACAGCTACTCTAACTGAAAAGCTTTCCAAAATAGCTAAAAGATCACCACAAAATGCGTACTACTGCTACACAAAGGGAGATCAAAATAAATTAAGCTTTCTAACTAGAACAACTCCGGAAGCATTTAAGAAAATGGATGAAATTGAGAAAAACGTAAGACAGCAGCTACTTCCTTGTGATACTGGTAAAAACCATATAACCGATAAAGATCGCAACCTTTTTGCACTACCACTAAGAATGGGAGAATTAGACCTCCTCAGTAACACGGACTTTTCCAAAAACTATGAGCGGTCACGAGGCATTTGTGATCCATTGGAAAACGTGATACAGAAATAGCTGAAACGGAACAAACTCTGATAAATAAAAACATCAAAACTGAGAAACATAACATCGCTCTATCAAAAAAGGCTTAAATTATGGAAAATTGCTCCACAGAGAAAAAACTGACAATAAATCTAGCGTCACAGAAAGGAGCATCGAATTGGCTAAGCGTGCTCCCCCTAAAAAATACCATTTCTCTCTCATCAAATCGGAGTTTAAAGATGGGTTACATCTGAGATATGGATGGGAACCACCAAACACCCCATGTGCTGAGGCCAGAAGTGTGGAATCGAATATGCTATCCACAGCTTGATGCCCGTGTAGACAACCGTTCCCACTGACCCACTCCCTACACTGTCCCAAAGGTGGATACACTCACCTAAGACATAATGAAATTCGCGATACCCTTGCGACAAACCTGGACGAAGTATGCTATGACGTTGAAATAGAGCCGAAACTTCAATCGTTGGAAGGCGAAAGCCATCACAACAAAACAACCACTACTGAAGATGACGCTCGACTTGACATCAAGGAAAATGGACTCTGGGGAGGCCGATTCAGCCGAACTTTTTTCGATGTAAAAGTTTTCAATCCCCATGCTAAATCCTAACCTAAAATTGTATCTGACGCCTACAAATATCTTGAGAGTGTCAAAACAGTAAAATACCAACAAAGAGTTCTGAATGTGGAACACAACAGCTTTGTTCCGCCTATTTTTGCGTGTAACGGAGGAGCAGCACCGGGCTCTACAAAAACCGTCCAGAAACTAGCAGAGAAACTAAGCGAAAAACGGAACGAATCATACTCGGACACAATTAACTATATATGAACAAAAATGAGTTTTGCCATTCTGATTAGTGCAATCCTTTGCTTTAGGGGGTGCAAAAAATTTAAAAAACATCGAACATAGACAATTCTATCTGTGCTGTAATCGAGGAGGGTAGATTTAAATTGACAATTCTCTTGATGCATTAAAATAGACTTAATTTATTCTTAAAAATTTGTCGATGTATTTATATAGCGTTGGTATGGCCCTATCCAACCTGTGCGCGTACCGTCGCATGACGGAAGGGCCCATTTTATTTGACCCCCGTTATTTTCAGGACAAATTTAAGAAGTGGTGGTGGCAGCAAAATTGCGGTCATCTGTTCTTTGTAGGCCACGAGCACTTAGTTGCACAGCTTCCAATTAAGTGCTTGTGGCCTGCAAAGAACAGATGAGCGCAATTTTGCTGCCACCACCACTCTTTAGATTGGTCCTGAAAATACAATTCACTTGGAAACTTGTGTCCGATTATTTAAAACATTTTGTTAAATTTATTAGCAATTTCCTCAGAATTAAATTTCGGAAAAAATTGCTCGATAATGTCATTTTATCAGAATTTTTACGGTTTTGCGTGCCAGGTAACGGTGTTTTTCCGGATCAAGCGGTGTACAGCTTCCAACTGAGACTCTTGAGATCTGAGATAAGCCAGGCAAATGCGGATAGGGCCAAGGCATCGGGTAACCTAGTAAAATCAAGAGGGGTAGTGAGAAGGGGTATAGGTGAGAAGTGGTGGCTCTCGGTAATATTCTGTTTGAACCGGCAAGCAAGGTGTAGTGTCAATAACCTGATAAGCCGACACAAGAGAAAGCTTGAAAAATTTTCAGAAAAACAGGATAGACCATTAAAAAACTTGGATGAAAGGTCAGTTAGAATTTTAGATGAAGTGATTTTGCCGCTTTCCACTTATTTTTGCGTGTACCGGAGGAGCAGCACCGGGCTCTACAAAAACCGTCCAGAAACTAGCAGAGAAAATAAGCGAAAAACGGAACGAATCATACTCGGACACAATTAACTATATAGGAACAAAAATGAGTTTTGCCATTCTGAGGAGTGCAATCCTTTGCTTTAGGGGGTGCAAAAAATTTAAAAAAAACATCCAACATAGACAATTCTATCTGTGCTGTAATTGAGGAGGGTAGATTCAAATTGACATTTCTCTTGATGCAAAAAAAAGACTTGATTTATTCTTAAAAT